GAGGACAGAGCAAGGTCCTGTATTGACTATAAGGTTGACACCCTACCCTCTTCATCCCGTAGACTAGCAGGCACGCTGCCTTCACTGTGGTGGTGTACACCTTCAGCTCAGGCCTCTGTTAGGAAAAGGACAGACAAGCAGGCAGGAAAAGGAACATTCACAGTGAGAAAACAAACACAAATGCAGATAAACTGGCAGAGCTGGGAGAGGTGGTCCTTGCCACAGTCCTAGGGATTCTATTCAGGTGTCACCTCTGTCACAGGAAGGATGGTGCTTCCTTCTTCCATTTACTGTTACTTGTGTTCTGAGGTCTCACTGTAGCCCAGGCTAGCCTTGAATTTGCACTGTGTTGCCTCAGCCTCTCAGGTGCTAGGATTACAAGTCTGAGTTACCATACCTCCTTGTTGGAAGGCTTCTACTGCTCTTAGTTAGTTTATTGGATATGATGACTGATCGCTATAAAGCAAATAAATTATTTTCGTGTGTGTATGAGGTGGAGTTAGTTCCACCTTCCACCTTTATGTGGGTTCCAGGGATCAAAATCAGGTGGTCAGGCTTGTCCAGGGGAATGGCCTTTATCTGCTAGTCCATCTCTCTCCTACCCATTTTTGCTTTTGATTTTTTTTTTATAAATTTATTTTCTTTGGATTTTTTAGACAGGGTTTCATATATTCCAGTCTATCCTTGAAAATGCATTATTTTGGGCTTGAGAGATGGCTCAGAGGTTAAGAGCACTGGCTGCTCTTCCAAAGGTGCTGAGGTCAATTCCCTGCAACCATGTGGTGGCACACAACCATCTATAATGAGATCTAGTGCCCTGATGTTCAGGCATACATGCAGTCAGAACACTGTATAAATATTAAATAAGTAAATCTTAATTTAAAAAAAAAGAGTTAAAAAAAAAAAAGGCCTTAGCCAAGGCTAAACTTTTTTTATTTTTTATTTTTGAGGCAAGGTTTCTCTGTGTAGCATTGGCTGTCCTGCCTAACGCCCACAGAGGTCAGAAGAGGGCGTCAGCTGCCATGGAACTGGAGCTATGGATGATTGTGGGCTATCCCTTGTGTTCTGAGAACCAATCTGGGTTCTTTGCAAGAGAACAAGTGCAGGTACTCAGGCCGGCCTTCATCTCACTCTCCTATGCTAGGCAGGATTTGAAACTGGCACCCTCCTCCCCCAGCCTCTAAGTTGCATCAGTAATAGGCCTGTAGCCCCTAGCTGCTTGGTGGTGGTGGGTTGTTTCTCAGTTTTTCTTTTCTGAGACAGGGTTTTACTATGTAGCTTTGTGTGCTGGCCAGTTTTATGTTAACTGGACACAAACTAAAGTCATTTGAGAGGAGGGAACTTTAATTAAGAAAATACCCCTGTGAGATCAGGCTATAGGCAAGTCAAGTTGGCAGGGCATTTTCTTAACTAGTGATTGATAGGGAGGGCTGTGGTGATTGATGGGGTGGAGCCGTCTCTGGGCTTGTTTCTACAAGAAAGCAGGCTGAGCAAGCCATGATGAACAAGCCAGGCGGCAGCGCTCCTCCA